ATATATATATATATATATATATATATATATATATATATATATATATAGCCGAGTTTGCGCTGCACATCTCAACTGTTTCAGCACGCGTCAATAACTAGAGAAAGAAGCGTTCGTGCTTATTCGTCGTATCTGTGTATGCATCGACCGACAACAGTACACTTGAAATAAAGGATGCATTCTACAAGGATCTTTCACAATTACCCCGAAGTGTTCGATCAACGGACGTCGTAGTAATCGCTGGAGACTTCCATACTAAAGTGGGATCCCTAGACGAATCAGAAAGGCTTCTCATCAGTCCACATGCAATCCCAACAAACCGGACGGAGAACGGAGGTCGCCTACTTCAAATTTGCGCGGACCACGGATTGGTCTTATCAAGCACCAACTAATTATGCAAGACACCGCCTTACTTAAAAACCGCCAATCTACTTATAGAAATGGACCCACATCGCTATCAGTTACCGCTGGAGGGGTGAATTCAAGATTTCCGCTCTCACTGTTCAACACATGTAGATACAGACCATGCTTTGTTACAAGTCAAATTCTCCGTACGCATGAGAAACAACGACAATACCAGTACTGGCAACGAACACCCACGGTAAAATCTCAGCGATAGTTGCAAATCCACCATCGAGGCGGAGTCGAAGGACTCAATGAACACCGGAAGCAAATCAAGGAGATCATGCAAATATCGATGAAAACAATAGCGGACTCTGGAACAGGCACAGGGCACAAAGATGGATCTCGTCGGCCTCTGCAGTCTTGCTTGATGCCTGCAGGACTCTTCCGCGTGATGCTACATATGACAGCAGGCAGATACCTTAAACACCAGCTCATCAAGAGTGTGAGGAGTGGCCGCGAGAAATGGTAGTTAAAAAATGCAGAGAGATGAGAAAGGCTGTGATTATCGGCAATAGTCGCAATCTTTTCCGCTTAACTAGGAATACGGGCCCAATGACAGAAGCGTGAGGTAATCAAGGAGTCCGCCGGATCACTGATTCTTCATCAACAACGCTGTCTTGATCAATGGGCTGAAAATTTCGAGGATCAGTTCCACTGGCCCCTATCGATATCTGACCCATAACATCCCACATAGACCGGGCAAATACTGCCAGCTGATGTCAGTCCTCCAGCTGAAATAGTGGTCTCCCGGAAAATACGTGCATGGTTAAAGGTTGTACAAACTGAAAACTGAATATTGTTGGACAACTGACCAGATTCGAGTAAACGAGTAGGACCGTAGAGATCTTTAGACAAGTGCTAATCTGCATGCGTGTGAACGCGCAACACAACCTGTTTTTTTAAATAATAATAAAAAAACTAACAAACTCAGTATTTTATCAATAGCTGGGCTACGACACAAGGCCAGTGTTTGTACGCAGCTTGAGCTGAACAGGGATATTGCGCAGCAATCAAGTTAAAAGCAACGGAAGAGGAAATGACAAATGACAGGAAGTCGGTGAAACGATAGGATTGGTTTCAGTTTAGTCTCACTCTTATACGACCATCAAGCGCACATTTCGTGCGCCGGTTTTGGTTGCCGTCTTTTGTCCGCTCATTCGGATAAACGAGCAGAATGAAGATTTGGATGTTGAGAGCAGAGTCAAAGATAAAATTGAGAATTCATATAGATTTGGGTTGCAAGAATCATGAGCAGATGCACGAGCGCCACTGTTTGCGACACAGCCATATCACTCATTGTCTCCAACTATCGCTAACAATGACCTCGGGGTACCCATCCAGGGAGCCTAACGGGACAATGTGAGCAAGTGTGCTGGTTAGAGTTTCTACACTCGCATGCCGGGTTTGACAACCATTTCCCTTTTTCCGTCCGATGCCCTGTTTCGGTAAACATCGCGCGCCGTGGCAATACTTATGGTGACACGCGCAACACATGTCCCTACCAAAACAGTCTATGGAGGTCAACCACTTATTCCAGTGGACAACCGCGGTTACCCAGACCTCTGTGCCTAACCCAAGCACTGCTTGTCAGGTTTGCCCACCCGATTCGTGATATGTTGCGTAGACAGCGGTGTTCATCCCGATCCGTTTGGTAGTGATTGTTTGATTCGCATACTGCATTCATTTCTTTATACATAACGAAACTTAATAATCTTTTAAAACTCAAATACACTGGAAACCATTTATGCCTCTCGAAATGATTAAACAGATTACGGGCGGATTGCAAAAGAAATAGAAAGTATCCATAAACAGAAAGAATGCATACACAGACCGTGGATAACGTACGAAAAAAACTCAAACGTCACTTACGCGGTGGCCCAGTCTGCCGAACGTGGCACTGCCATTTTTCCCGGACACGTTCGAAGAGTCTGGGAACGGTTCGCAGCAAGCGGACTGGATGTGGTTACTGTGCGATGAGACCAAGTGTTCGGAGGAGCCATCTGGGCTGCCGAGTATGGATCATCTGTTTGTGAGGGCGCGGTGTAGTGTCCCACTGGTTTGGTAGAGTAGAAAGACTCAGGCCATTCGACCGGGAACTGGTTCGGATAGGGTGATTGGTACGTAAACTCTTGACTCGATGGAACATGTGGCTCAGGTTGGTAACGACCTAGAGTGCCAACATCCAGCTCTCGTAACGGTGTACGCAAATTCATGATCGGTGGTCGTGGCGGTTCAGTCGGGCGTGACCAAGGAAATTGTGCGTATTGCGTGTAGTTGGGCAGGTTTTGCAGAACTGTCGGTGTGGGCCCTGGTACGAGAAGTCTTTCTCCAGGGGCACGGGAGGAGGAGTAGTGTAATCCGGAGCGTCGCCATCGGTGGATCATTTGATGCATGCTAAAAATTGAGGAGAAAAAGTAATGAATCAATCAAAGCGAACGGAGATGGTGGATTGTGTGATCAATGAGCGAAACTCAATGTACTGCTATCATTCGACAAAGGCGCTTATAGAAGAAGGAGCCGATGAACATGTATAACTAGCAAAGTATCCAGGGATTGTACGCAACTCACGTGGAATAAAAACACTACAGTATCCTTGGATAGCGTGTGGTCATAGAATACGTCTGCTGAACGCTATAGGAACTTATAATAGAACGTGATAATGAGACTTGTTACAAGAATAATACGGAACATCTCAGAGTACACCTAACCAAAAAATTAAACAATATTACGCAAGTAGCACGAGCATAAGAAAATGGAATGCGTTTCACAAACATATACATAGACCGGGACCGACACACAAGTAATGGAATAATTACCGATGAATGACTTGTACCGCCCGCACCGCAACGCGGAACCTGCGCAAGGGATGAACTCGGAAATCGGGACTAGGTAATCCATCACTGGAAGGTGAAGTATCGACTGGTACCGTGGAATCCGGTCGACAAATGCTCGCCAATACAGTCTCTTCGCTGTATTGGAATCCGCCCAACAAAAGCAAAAGATAACGTTTTTGGAAGGTCAGCGCACGCCTATAACTCTCCGAGCGCAGAAAACGCGTGTGAAGATTCCGGAACTGATCGGAGGGGTTTGGGAGATTAGAAACAACACAAGAAGAGCATGTAGTTAGATTAGGTATGAAGGAATGAATGACTATGAGACAAATTCTAGTAATGTTTCACAACCACGGTATTTCACTTATAAAGTGATGCTTGAGGATTTAATGCGTCGAGTCACAGTCATTGTTTTATTTCCGGATACTTGATTAAAGACCAAAACTATGATCAATATAAAACAAGAGATCCGAGAGAAATAGAAGGCTGTAACTGAAAAATACGGACATTGATGACGAGATTCAAACGCACCAAGTACAGGGTAGTGAAGTGATAACTTATATCACTCAATCTCCACCACCACACATCAGGACTAGATCTGACAGAGCTTCTATCAGGGATCGGGTTGTCGGTCACCATTCCGGTGTGTTATTGAAATTTCATTCACCGCTTAAACTCGAGGGCTACAGAGGACAAATAGAATAGGATTGTCGCACGAGCTGATTGTTGACGGAGTCCAAGTGTTACCACTTTTAGTTAGATTCAACTTTCAACTTCCCGTTCTACTTCTGAGGCTTCATTTAAATGGCGATAGCATCCAAAACCGACAGACTGAAACTGATATGGCAAGACAATTATATCGATGAATTCAGATCGTTTCTCGTGCATTGCTTGATACAAAGACTGAATGACTGAACAAAATTTCCCTGGAACCACACGACCAGTTTCGCGGTTCTTGCCGCCCGTCAGGTATGCGTATCCGGTAATCTTTTGTCCGTTCATTCACATACTTACACTCGGGAAATGTATTTTCGTCACAAAAACCTTGTTTGCAACATGAGGGAAAATTCGTCCAGTCATTTACATGCTACTTATTATGAAATATTCTATCAAGACGATGAAGTCACGTTGGTGGCGGTTAATGGCATCTAAACCACCTACAAAACATGAAATCATAGAATTGCTTCTTCAATGGGCTGGCTCTGAAAGAGCTATCTATCCAAAAGTCACCCGGCGTTACAAGCAAGGTTACTGTGGCGAATATATGTTCATCACCGGCCTGTGAACAAGCATGGTACCCAACCACATGGAGGTGCGTGGATAAAGAAGGTTGTATAAAACGGAAGTGAACTCACGCGCTCCATCGAGACAGTTTGTTCATCCAGTGCAGGCTTGTTTTGTGAGACAAACGGGTCCAATGATTGATTCTACACGTGAGGAAAGATACATTAAAGTCACGGGAAATTAACACCAAATAAAAATTATGCTTCAAAATACCCAAGTCAACAATGAAAATCTGCAAAACCATTTCATTTCGTGCAGTCTTATCAACTGCAAGTACTTTTAGGACGCCTCTGATATTTTGGTAATTTCTAACGAATGCCTCCAAAAGACTCAGTATGGTCGGGGATGGGTGTCTAGGATCTGGGTTGGTCACCCTTCCCATGCACCTCGCGAAATGCTCCCATACGACCAAGCGTCTCGAATAGACTCTGCTGAGGAAGCCCTAGTCACTGCCTTCTCGTGGCGGTGCTTTCCCGGGGCTCTAACCGGATCGGTGAACTATTGCCAATTCACTTAGAGGAGTTGGCAAAAGCCCTGGTTCCAAACCAACCAAAGGGAGGCGTGCGAACCACATTCACCCGTTCCTTGGTTATGACAGGGATCACCGGTTCGATTGGGCATCAAGCACCTTAAACGTCTAACCCCACCCAAAGGGCGTATGATTCGATGAACCGGACAGTAGCCTCTCATGAATTGCGGTTTTCGAACACCGCCCTGCTTCTTCGCAGGTCAAACTTCAGCTAGTTAAAGGCTTAGGTTGAATTCTTCAAGGAAATTCAGCTGGATTAGTCTGGGCAACCGGTAAGTATACCGACCATAAAAGATCACGGAAATTTCTCTTTTGTTATTGTATTATGATCTGTTTGGCACACAGTGTGGATTCAAACGAGTGAATTACATTTAACTGATACGTTTGCCATTTGGTTGGATGCAGTTCGTGAAAATTACTCTTTCAACCACTAAATATCGCTTTCGGTCCACTGTGACCGATGTAGAATTCGAAGCGTATATCAAGAAACTATTTATGTTATATTCTTTTATTGCAATGAACGGGTTTATAGGAGTGTCCACTGCTTAGTTATGGTTGAGATACTAAAACAAACTTCGTCTTCATCTACTTTGCTACTGATTGTTATTTCGGATGCACCTCCGTATAACAATATACAAAAAGCCACTGCACAACCGTCCTGATGCGAGCATTTTCATTTACTCCCCTTAAGAAAAGTTACCGCATGTGCACATCCAGGAGTTTTAATGTGGCCATGGGTGGGTTCCTTGGGTTGTGGCTGGTCGCTCTTCCCTTGCTAGTAGCAAAATGATCCCATACGACTCAACGAGTTCTCATCGGCTTCATGCGGCGGAGTTGTCTCCCCACCGAAGTAAGAGTACGAAAAGCCAACATCAAGGGCTTCAAGCGGGTCAATGAACCACTGGAAATTCACCTAATAGGGTTACCTAAAAGCTGTGATTGTACGGACCTAACACATACACTTCTTGGTTATGGCAGTGATCACCGGTCCGCAAGTTAGTGTAAGCGGCGACCGAAATACCGAACAATAGGTTCAAGATACAGCAAATTACAGATGGTAACCTGCTTGAAATCGCTAAATAACCAAAAATACTAGAAAAAACATACGGACCGCGAAGTCGTCATACGGAAACTATAGCTAGTGCATCTGTATAGTTTTGTTGCCTCCTATTTTGACATAATTGTCAAATAAGTACATATGTTTAATAGTGAGCCAAGCTTTCTTCCATGGAGAATTCCTTTGGGTTTTGCTCCATCATTGTTAAACTTAAAAGTTCCAAATTATGAAAATTAGACGGAAAAGATTGATTGCCCCATGATTTTTCTGCGCACTACGATCGTCGACCTTGAGATATTTTACTACTTTCCAAATTTGCAAGTGAGTTACAGACGGTGAGAACTACGTTCACAAACTACTCCAACAATAGAATTCGATCAATGATGTGTCACGGAGTATCGAATACATGTGCAACTCACATCGTCCGCTTGTTAAGATAGGCTCCCTACTTTTTCGTCAGAGTTCAGTAGATGCACTAAAAACGTTCGGTATCCCGGAGAACAATTTTTAGGGGGAAAAATTCATTTTTCCAAGTCTACGCTCAAAACCGCATTCGAACCTAACTACGGTGATGGTACAGAAGCACCAGTTGCATGATATTGCTCATAAGCATTAGCGATTAATTGCGGAAAAATAGGAGATGCCCTAAAAGCACTCCGTGCCTTCAAGTTTCCAGTAGACTCAACAGTTCATTTTCAGTTTTTACCGCCACAATAATGGACTTTCGTGCTCCGGTTTTGGTTGCTACTTTTTGGCTGCCCATTAGGATTAAGCAGTAGGAGAAAAACAGGAAAGTTGCGAGTAGAATCGAAGAGATCATGGAGAGGTTCATAGGATAAAGGTTGCGAAGAAATTGAGATGCACGAATGCCATTGATTACAACACTCAGTCACATTACCCAGTGTCTCCATCCGTTGATTACAATGGTTGCACTGGACTCGACAAATAAGACTATACAGATTGTCACTAGAGAAGAGCACTTACGTTGATACTAATGGCGAGGACCCCCAATTAACGACTAGCGCTGACAAATTGATCACTGAGATCAACCCGGGTAAAATGGGATTCGAAGAGCGTAAGGGTGAAAAGTAATTCCGTTGATGAATTAACATGGACTAACGGCTATACTGAGATTAAAACTTCTGGCAGAACTCATTTAGGCTGGAACACCACCAGTTTAAATTCATTGACGCAGTACAGAACTTAGCTGATGTGAAGAAGATCAACTCACTGTTCGTTCCACGTGGTCGGGATTGGCTATACACGACTGAGTAAGCGAGTTGGCTATCGTGGCACCCGCAACTGGATGAGCAGGAGAAAATGGGCCGGAGTCGCGTTCAGCCGCAGACTGAGAGAACGAACGATCAGAATGTGGATGTCTGCGATGCACCGGTGTCTTATTTGGTGAAATCGTGCTCAGGAGTAATGAATGAGGACTATCGTCTTCTTCGTCTTCCGCCTCATCAGAATTATCTGGTGGTGGAGAAGACCGGTCCTCAGCAGAGGCCAAGGACAAAAGTCGTGAACACATCCCTTTTAATTCGGCGAATCGGGAACTCGCATTCAGTTGATTTCGATCTCGAGCTAGTGATTCACGCGCATTGGTGACCGCAGAATTGGTATTTCGGACGCTGGACGCTGCCGATGTTGTAGGAGTCGTGGAATCTACTGGTTCACGATTGGTCACAGTCACAAGCAACGGCATCAAACGGAGCTCAGCTTCGGCCAGAGAAAGACGTAAAGACTGATTTGTTGCCTGTGGATCGCAGAAGAGTAATAAAAAATGGGCCCAAACAAGATGTGCTTCTCACAATTCCCAGTGAGATGAATAGTAGAAAGTACAGAGTAATCCGTTATGAGAAACAGCAATCCAATCGAGGAATTTGAAGTGATGACTCACAATGGGATGATGAATAAAAAACAATCTTTCAAATACAGATTTTCTATTTAATTGCAGATGAAGACGCTCGAGGAAGAAAGCAGAAAAAGGAGGAAAGGGACTACCGTCAAATCAACTAGTCACATACAACATATATGATAAGTCAAAATCACGGTATGAAAGAAAACTTATCCAGGTTTTCCCTAAATACATGATGACTGAAAATAAGCTGGAACAGATTGTTGTAGACAAGGTATTAGGGCAAGCTCTGTTCGTAGTTGCTTCACGAAACCATTTTTTGAGATATATACACCTTATCATATCAGCAGGGTAGGGGCGTTACACCAAAAGGTCTTCATAGAATAAGAACGAAGAATATAATGGATTTCTTCATTTGCATAGCAAGTGAAGCATGAACCGAAAAGGTGGGAAGCATCAATCAGCTGTTTCTACCTGGTTGGGTTGTGTTGAAATGTTTCCAATCGAGTCATAACCATGGAGAGGCTAGTGCTGAAATGAGCGGGGAGCGCTGCCCGCAACAAGCTCGCAGGGATAGTTTGTGCTAATACCGTGTCTACGAAAAGTAAAAAAATCGGTCTAACCAGGGGCCCGGGGCTTGACCGGGTGGTATGCTTGCATTTCACCTGAGAGGTCCCGGGTTCGAACCCCGGTCGGGTCGATGGTTTTGTACTGTTGCTGAGACGACGAATTCCACTACGCCATGGAACCAAATCTACAGCTACTTTCATGTAACATACATATGAGAAGCTCATCATCATTAGATGATAATAGTTTTCAAGCAAATAATCAGTTCAGTTCAGTTCGGACAACCATAAACCATGCACTTTCATGCACCGGTTTTGGTTGCTGTCTTTCAATTGCTCACTTGGATGAACAGTAGGAGAACACAAGAAAGTCGAAGGTAGAGTCGGATAGAAAATGGAGAAGTTCAGTGGACTAACGTTACAAAGCAATTAAGAAGATGCACGAACGCCACAGTTTACGATACTCAGGCATATCACTGTGTCTCTAACCATCGGTGACAGTGGTCTCGGGGTCCCCAGCTAGCGAGCCCAACTGGACCCATGTGAACCAGACTCCTGGTTAGGGTTTTCATGCCCTCGTGCCAGGTTTTACCTGGGCTACCCTTTGCTTTCTTCCACCCACTACCTGTCTCGGCGAAAATTGCTCGCCGTGGCATCCTATCTGGTGACATGCGTAGCGCATGCCCCAATTAAAGTAATCAATCAACCAATCAAATAATCGGGGCAAATCTATGTAACCTACTTTGACGGATAATTTCGCACCTGTCGCCACAAGGAAAAAAGTTATCTTTTAGATCACATATTCGCATAATTGAAAGACATGTCGTCATTTGACCCCAAAAGGAGCATGAAAAAGTAGTAATCACCTGCAATTCCCGAGCACGGCGTTCGGCTTTGTTTGCTGTGTGCCTGGCCATTGCCAAATTGGTCGCCGCGCGACTGATCGCGTGGAACAGATCCCCACTGGTTGAACCATCCTCAGGACTGGACTTGAGCAGATTCTCCAATTGAGATTTTAAAGGACTGTCTGGGATCTGTCCGCTTCCGTTTGTGCTAGTTGAGTGCACCGCTTTGCTCAAGGCGCTGGGAGTATTCGAATGCAAATAACAATTTCAGGTTACATACGTCACAAGATACAACACAAATTACAAAGACCTTAGGTACATGTATTACATAAATTATTCAGTCTGTCGATCTTTTGAACAGCTGCAATGAAAATAAACCAAAAGTGATATCAAAATAAACGATGCATGACAGACGATCATTCGACTCACTTGGATGCTTCCTTCCAATTCGCCTTTAGATCCATGAGTTGCTGTTCCGCTGCCTCTGCTCGTTTGCGTTCCCTAGTCAACAAATTCTCGCATTCCTATGTACAGTATACAAATACGGATGGACAGCATTAGGCAAAGTACCAAAGGGAACATGACAAAAGGGGATTATATAGTCGAAACTCAAAGTACATCAAGGCGTTAGCTGGTATAGTCACGTGAACTCATATATATATATATATATATATATATATATATATATATGTTCGTCACAATAACCCTGTTTGCAACACTGGGTAACCATTGGATAGATAGCTCTTTCAGAGCCAAAGCAGAAATATCAAATTCATCGTATTGTAAATCAATGTATAGTGGTTATCTGTGACTACTAACTATTTATTTTATCTGCAGTAGTTAAATCTCGGAGATATCCATGTGGGCCCTTTGGGCTATGACTCTTTCGGTGTCTCGGAAATACTGATGCACCGGTATATATCAGAGATCATCAAAATCACAACGAATTGATCTGTGATTAGGAGCTGTGAAACCTACGCTTTACCAAATAAGGCAAACACAATACGGCTAAGGTATCGAGCTGTCCAATACAGAGCATAATCACAACGCAAACAATTCATGGATAACTATGTTCGGTCTACGATATTTAAAGAAAAAGTCTAATCGTAATCTAAGAAGATTAGAATATGTTGTTTGAGCATGAATAAAACTAGGTTGCGGAGAGGAATTGTCGGATTAGACAATTTTTTCTATGGTCGTTACTTGATCCGATCACTCAAAAGCCGACAAATAAAAACCAAGATTTTTTCCGTTCTGATCATCGATCGCCGTGTTACTTTGTGTACTGCGCCGAAACAATTGGTAGGTAAATCGCTTAACTGATCGATTACTTGGTAGATACGATTTGTGCACGCTTTCAAGAAGGGATAGTATCATTCTTCAGAGGAAAACAAACAACAGGTCTCCTTTTGTCCGATGTCCCCAATCTGATATATCAATTCCTTCCTGCTTGAACTCCCGGACCTACCAATTTTCCGTGGTAACTGCTATCGGGGTTACTATAACTGGTGGCCTTGTGAAATCCGACTGGTTGATGGACATAGATGTGAATGAACTCAACAATGGTGTTTTGACTCCACTCCCGCTAAGTTTAGACAGCTATAGTGCTTCAATAGTCAAATGACATCTAATAGAGACCACAAAATGTTAGCTGGACGTGATGCACTTCCCCGAAAACTGCCATAACAGAACTGGAACCAGGAAGGAAAACTCGATGTATCGCTGTACCGTAACAACAATGAATTGGCACTACATGGGTTATCTAATGGGATTGAGACGTCTTCATAGTTCCAGTTTTCTTAAATCTCTTTATGGAAAAATGCGTTCCACATCCGTTTGATCGAGCAAGTTGAATGGAAACATTATGACACAAGTACACGTTGACGGCATATGACACACAACTAATCTCCAGATAGTACTCGAGTTACACCGACGAATGAGTATGGAGTGAGGTGATAGAGTGAAGATCAGCAAATCAGACTGTTGTTTAGGGAGCGTCAGAAGAAACAAGACTGATGAGTTGAACAAACGAACCTCAAAAGCTTTTTTCAATTCAACTCGTTCCTTGTCCGATGCAGATTTCTCGGCGGAAATAGAGTCCAACTGTGCGCGTAATATCGTAATAGTCTGTTGCTGGTCAAATAGTTGGGTGCTAAGATCCAAGGAGAGAGGAAAAACCACGTAAAACGTAGGCGCAGGTGGTTTAATAGACAAGTAAACTATACCAATCTGGATGATACAATGTGAATGAATTCCCGTAACCAACACAGCAACCAGAGTACAGAATAAGGGAATAGCTGTGAATCGAACGTTGGCTGTGATTAGACATGGTACAATCGGACCTGGGATGGCCAATCACGTATTAACGGATGCTAATTCAAAAAGCGGGTTATCCCTTTCCAAGCGAGCCGCGATCACACACACACACAAAGGGAACGAAATAAGATGGAAGCACAAATAAATCACAACTTTTCCCAAAACCGATATCAGAAAATTATGCGAGCGAACCTACCGCTTGCAAAAAATAAGCCCTTTCAAAAACAGAGTATGAAGGTGAACATAGGTTTTCGGTGAATTCACTTTATGTAACCTGTAAAAACACATTTATATTCGTAAGGTCGAACAAAACGTAATCTCGTACGCTGTCTTCTACAGAGAGCAATATGTCTCTGTTAGGCAGATACTTTAAAGGACGAATTTGGACCAGTGAAGAGAACCTTACTGGAAAATAGCTAGCCTGGAGAGTTTGCTGACTGTGATTATACTGAGCAGAATAAGCAACAAAAACACCACAAGCGGAATTGAATGTTCTTCTCATAGAACTCTCATTCAAAGATGTCAATGCTGACAGGGTCAGTATAGTCTTATCGGCTGCAATGAAATCCACTTAGAATGCAGCTAGGCTAAGATTTGTTCTCTATAACACTGAACATTCGATAAAACAAAAACAAGCTGCCTATGTTGATCTCTTTTTGAAATCGTGATGTAGGTCGAACGACAAGGCAGTTATTTCCACGCATCAATAAATACGATCCACGCTGGTTCGCCTTTGGTGGGGATGGAACTGTCATGCGGAAGCGTGATTGATGAAATCTGAATGGTGCACACATCGAAAACTGGATCCAAGCTCTCAAACTCCTCTCATCGAGGTAAGAGAAAATCGCTTATGACCATGACGAAAGATAACTAATTAGGACCGCATCACCTAAAAAAACGTACCAATTTGGTGTTTTTAGGGACAAATAACCACACACATGAATCATCCACATTTCTGTTTGACCTTACTGAATTTTGTTTCACATAAATTCGATTGTCAAGGCGTGAAAATGAATTCACCAAAAACATATATTCGCCTACAACGTATGTTCTTTATCAACGGGAATATTCTACGATTTGAAAACAAGTCATTTTCACAAGAGAACGCCATATGAGCACCAGAAGGAAGTAAGAACAACAACGTTACACAAACTTCTAACCCATCAAAACGAAATAGAATAGAGAAAATAGTCTTCGGTAGATCAGAAGCAAGAGGACTATCATGTAACTTCAAGGATGATTCTCAGCGAACAGTGCACACCAACTGACTGCGTAATCAACATGGTAGCATCAGAAAAGGAGAGCACATACGCACACATGTGTACGCCCTGATCAACACAGGTTCAGCAAATAGTTGTGCACGATCCCATTACATATACCTGGGGTTCAGGTGTCAATGAGTTGCACAACTGGAAGTGGAATGGTGAATGAAATTTGAACAGAAAATGTAACAAAAAGGAAGAGGAACAGTGAAAGAATAAAGAGTGTGTACCCGGTGGGAGAGTATAACCTTCTTAAAAGGAATTCAAAACAAAATAACAAAAACCGTAAGCAAACAATAAGGAGTAGAACGGGGACAATTCTAATCCAGAACCTAAAGAATTACAGAATGTTATAAAAGAAGTAATAAATTTGATAAACTATTTGTGACAGTGCGCCAACCGTGCATTTGTCCGGGAAGCGCACGCACGACTGACAGCTCTCTTATACGGTCATGTGTATTATTGGGCGAAAATAATCGGCAGGCAAAGGATTCGTTATGATATAAATGATAACACCAAGCTAAATATGGCTGGAAAAAAACCATGGGGATGAAAGTTTGGTGAATGTGAAAGAGCCACAGAAAATGATAGAAAATTATCTCAATTATTCTGGTGAATAGAGGCTGACTCAACCTCAGCCTAAAATACATAAACCCTGGAAACTAAGCGAATCAAAATTAATACAGAGAGCATCACGAGCAGTGCATTCATCAACTGACCTAACCGATTCCGCGTTCGGTTCGGCTTGGTTAGAATTTGATCGCTCCTTCAGTAATTCATCATTGACCGCGGTCAATTCAGTCTTCAGGCTGTTCACTTGATTCGTCAATCGCAGGTTCAAACTGTCTGCTCGCGTTAGGGCTTGTTTGTGTGAAGACAGACCTTCCGTGAGACGATCGACTGGGTTGGAGGTTAGAATAAGAAGCGCACAGAACAAGTATTTGACAAAAGTGCAGGTCTCATAGTGAGATTCGGGAGTGATATAAGGAAACAACAGCTGTGTAGAGTATCCGAAAAAATACTGGACACCTGTCTTATCCTGTTTGGCACTTGACAGCAGTGCGTACTTTTTGTGTCCCTATCAGGACTCGAACTGCCAACCTTCAGGTAAGGACTATAAACCCTTACCCCTGAGCTACACGGTAGACGGTCATCAGCTTGTGCGAATGGCTTGATGAATTTAGACGGTGAAGGTTCGGATTAGGCAACTCGGTTTTTCACAGGCACCGCGCAGAGAACGAAACAACTGTCCAGTGCTAGTTGTCCGTCATAACAAAGATTTTCATCGAATTGACCGGTCTTTGTCTTCGGAAATTCTTATTTAGTTCTCTGGTCTCTACTGCTTACCAGGTTTCGGAATGACTATCGAAGTTACCGTCTCATGCACAGAAAACACAGGCGGAACAATAAAGGTAACCTTAAAAGATTTTGTTCCAGTGTCATTCGAGGTAGCTTCAAAAGATGGATTAGATGAATATTGGTCTGCTGAAAAGCAATGAACGAAAACCATCACTACTCATGGTTTTGTGATCCTAGGCCAGAAGTCGACTTTTTTGTCTTTGAAGTGTATGAGCAGTGTAGGGCCGATAGATCGAGAGTTTATTCATTGTAGGAATAACGTTTACCACGATGCATAGATAATGAAAAGGGGTAACGTGAGGGACGAATTTCACCTCCTTTTATTTACATTACATTATACGGGCACCGAGTTTTATAAGACAGTGAAATACAGTGAACATAGTTACACGGATGCTAGATATACAAAATCAGGTCGGTACCAACACGGAACATAGAAAACAGTATGCATGCACCCGTAAAACAATACCGGAAGAAATTTCATTGTTTTTTAAGTCGTTGGAAAAGACAATCTGCTATAGAATAAATGGAATTAGGAAACAGCGCGTTAGAGAGAACAACATGAGGAGCTTGAAAATAAGAATTAGAACAAATTCAAACTTGATGTAATCTCTTCAACGCACAACCTGCCCGCATACAAGTTCTACGACGAAAAACACCCCATGCTTACTTTGATGTGATAAGTTGTCTACGCGATTCAATGCAGTCTGTAATTCTGAATTCAGACACTGTTGTTCGACCAGATGTGCCTGGACCAGACATTCGCGGTACTGCGTGAGGAAGAGCAAAGAAAAAACGCATCATATTGGAAAAAGTTTATTATATATATATATATATATATATATAGAGAGAGAGAGAGAGGCGGG